ATTTTTTTTTGTTTTAGTATTTTGAAGTTGACCAATTGTTACTATAAGCAATTAATGATTATAGATGATCTGCACCGAAGGATTGTTACACCTAGGGATGGGCAAAAATGCGAAATCCTTAATTTATTGTGTGCATAATGCGCATTATGTGCATTATATAGTAAATTATTAATGATTTTTAAAAAAACATCCACTATCAAATTATCTTCATGGTTTTAGCTTAGATGTAATAAAACACATGTTTATTGTGTTTATTGTTACAAAAATTTATTATTTTACTAACTTAGTAAGTTACATCAGAATCATATAAATCATCAGATTCTTGATTTCTTTTTTCATTTTCACTACTACTACTGTTACTATATTCACTTTCTTCATTTTCATTTTCTATAAATTCAATATCCCCATCCAATAAATTTTTATCCAATTCTTCTGACTCATTTGAAAATCTTTTTCACGCTGATGCCTCTTCTTGTGGTATTTGCAATTTATAATTACTATAAATATATACCAATTTTAGGACACAATCTAGTGTTAATTGATTTTGTTTCTTATCATAAATATAAGCAAAAGCTGGCCAATTTCTTTCAGATGCTGCAGATGATGTTGGAATAGATAAAACACATTTTGCCATTTGAGTTAATTCAGGTGCAGAATCAATGAAATTCCCACTACACCAAGTTATTGGAACAACTTTACCAACTGTTTTCCAAGCAAGTTGATTTGCAAAAATTCCACTTTTTTCCCTATAATGCAAGAGTTGTGTCCAAATAATCATTGCATCATTTGAATAAAACTTTTGAATAAATTGTGAAATTTTATGCATTGAATTAGAAGTAAGACAGCAGCCATGAAATGATGGATCAAGTAAATGTGCAACTTCCATGATAGGGTGATAAATGCTTTTCCATCTTTTTTCTAAAATATCTTTAATATGATCCTCTACTATATCAAATACATATATAGTAAAAAATATATTTTTATGAATAATATTAATATTACTTAAATAATAATGATAACATTACATTACCTGATGATTCTAATTGATCATAATACCAATCTAAAACTCCAGATAAACAAGGTGTATCTGATTCAAAAATTGAAATTCCAATAACAAGCTGATTAAGAATTCTAAATAAATCACCAACTTCTTCCCAAAACCCATTATCTTGCACTATATTTTTTATATCTTCATCAATATTAACAGCTTGATTTCGTGATAATAATGTTATTGTCAATTCAATTGCAAGTTGGTTACTTGAAGTGAATTAAGGCAAGCAGTTGATGATCTTAACAGGTAATTTTAGCAAAATTTGCTTGTTATAGTTGGAAAGTTGATTGATATTGCTTCAAAATTGGAATGTGATGTGATTTAAAATACTTAACAATTCTTTTACTATTTTTCATAGTAGTATCTGCCCATGAAAAGTTCATAATGTCACCAATTAACAGATTTAAAGAATGAGCTACACAGCCAATAAAAACCACATTTGGATATCTAATGGCCACAAGTTTCCATGCCTTTTTCATTGAGCTTGCATTGTCAGTAATGACTGCTGAAAGTTTAGAATAGTCAATTTGTAATATGGTGTTTTCTATATCTTCTGTAATATTTTCTCCTGTCTGCCTAATTTCACCAGTTTGGTGGGCAGAAAAATATTGGCTTTGGTGTAGTAATTAAATAATTTGTCCAATTTTCCTGCATAATATTTGACCTAAATATTATTAGATTATAATAATAAATAAACTCTTTACAAATAACTGTTAAAAATGACACTTACCATCCATCCGATACTAAACAAATATAATCTGCTGAATTTATTATATTGTCTACTTCATTTTTTGTATTGTTATATACTTGGTCAAAGCAATGTTGTTGATAAAGTTTTTCATGAAGGAAGTTTTAAAACAAGGATGAAGTTTTTTGAAGAGAGCTTTAATTGGTTCTAATTCAGGCAATGATAAAAATAGTTTGCATTGATAAATTGTTTGAGCAAATAATAATTCAGCTTTAGCTTGTTCTACTAAAGATATCCTATCAACAAAATTATTGATTGATGAATTTTGTAAATGTTTTGTAGTGATTACAGTATTTTGTTCTATTGGTAAACAAGAATTGTTATGTTGATTTGAATTGGGTTGAAAATTTGGGCCAAAATACCCTTGGAGAATTGTTATACTTACTCTTGAACAAATTTTAAAATGTGCAACACATTTACCAATAACAGTATTTATTTCATAATTACAATATTTGCATTGTGCACAAGGTTGCTGAAAGCCTGACACTTGACCAAGTTTATTGAAATGAATCCAAAACTTTGTCAATAATTTCGTGATTATTCCGATTTTCTGGCAAACAAGTAGTAGCTGCTAATTGTTGTTGTTGGTATTTTTGAAATTCATTTACCACATTTGTATGTGAAATTCCAAAAAGGTCTTTACCATTATATTTTTTTAAAATTCCAGCCTTTTCCCAAACTTCTGTTGGAGTTATTCTATCAAAATTTGCTATACATACATTATTTTTATAGATCTCAATGATACAATTATTTTTAATTACCTTTTGCACAAAATGGCATGACATTAATTTGAATCTTGATGCGAAAGATGAGCAAAATCCTTCACCAACACCATCCCAATTTGTGCACTATTCCAAAACAATTGCAAAAATAAAAATATTTATGTTTTCTAAAGTAACCATGAAAGGTTGAAAATCTACATCTTTCAATAATTCATTTGTCACTTCTAAATTATCAAATCCTAGTATGACATTCCCTGAATATTCTGTTCCTTTCTTATTTGTAAAATTTTTATACATATGATTGATTGTTGCAGAAGTTGCTTCACATACAATCGATCCTCCATCTAACTCACAACTAAAGCCAGCTTTTAAATATGTATCACGTTGACGAATTATTCATATTGAAAAAATTATATTAGATAGTTCCACTTGCACTTTCATTCCTATCCTACATGGTAAAGCTTTATTTTTTTGTGTTGGCCTGGTCCACCAATTTATGGCAAATGGACCATAATGAATTTCTGGAACAATGGGACCACCAGATAAATTATAAAAATTTTTTTGTTACTGTAGTGTTAGAAAATTGTGGTGTAGTTGTCATTTTGAAAAATAAGAAATTGTTATCCCTACAGATCTTATATTTCAATTATTTAACCATTATGGCTTAACTTCCTTGTCAGTTAATTGCAATCAATTCATAATAATTCAGTGCTTGTCAATTAATTAATTTACAAAATTTACTTTAGTTCTTGACTACTGCCTCTTTCTTGCACGTAGATGAATTGTAAGCACGCTTAATGGTACCAGATAACCGTAAACAGATAAAGATGCTCTTTTACAAAGCTCAAAGGTTTTTGTAAAGCTCCTTTTATTCACTTGCGATCAATTGATTATATTTACTGACCAATTGCAAACTCGTTTTGGCTTATTACAAAACGACTTATTAAGTAGCTTGTTTAATAGCCTTACGTTTACAATTACAATAACATTAACCTTTAGACAATGCTTCGTTAACATTCACTAGTTAATCAGCATTGATTCTAACTTTTTCCTATTCACCAAAATAGATTACTAATTGTTGTTAGCACTCACTAATTGATATCGATTTCTTTATTTGTAAATTGTCACATAGTATTTTGTCAAGAAGTATAGATACTTGAATTTCCAATAATCTTCTAGTAATAATATAATAATAATATCTTAACATATTGATAATAAAAATAACACCTTACATAAAATTACCGTAAAGTCTGGAAAGATAGCATCCCCTTTTTACGTGTAACATTTTTTTTATATTGACGCTCAATTGTTTTAAAGTAGGGGTGCTATCTTTCCAGACTTTACGGTATTGAATGAAGAAGCAAATGCTCGGAACCTTCATTATTTACTATATTACCAACTTTAAAGAGAGAGCATGATAAGGGAATTCGACACACGTAATACTATTTTTTAGTTTCTTAAAGATAACCGTTTTTACAATATTTTTACAATAACTTTCACTAGTATTTGTAAAAAAAAAAATTTTTTTGTAAAAACGGTTTTTTATGCTTAATCCTTTCACTATTACTATGTGAAATCTTTGTGAATTCCATTTTTTCTACCAGTACTCTTTTGACAATAGTTTTGTTGGCCGGAATGTTGACAATAATAAGACTTAACCATTCCTCAAAACAATGTAATTTTGACGAGTGTTAACAGTAATAATAATTATACTGACCGGAACATTCATTATTTAAAATAAAGTAAAAATTAGCAATTGATATGTTATGTTTTCAAAAACAATGATATTGACTGTAATCAATGACAATAACAATGGATTCGTTGACCAGAATCCAACTAATGCTATGATCTGAATAATTTTTTCAATGATTTGTTAAATACAACATGATAAAGAGGCTGTGATTATTTACAAACAAATTGTGGTTATAGTAGTAGTAATAAATTTTATTTATTAACAAGAAAATCAACATACATAACATTATAGAAAAAAATGGTCAACCAATAAAAATTTGATTTGTTCTTTATTTATTTTTTTGATCTTTCTGTTGCATTTGTTTCATTTATTTTATCAACTTCACCAACTTGCATTGAAGAAGATAAGTCCAATGCTGATTCTATATCTGTTTCATGAATAATAACTTCTCGATTCAGGCCTGTCTTTATTCTTCTACATAATTGGTTTGTTGTTTTCCGATCAAATTCAAATCTAATTCATGGTGATGGTGGTGATGGTGGTGGTAGTTGGCTTTGTTAAGTTAAAGTGTTGTTTAATTTGAGCATTATAATGCTTTAAGATTGGTTTTTCTTCAATGTGAAGTTTATCATTTATGATTAATTTCGTAAAAAATTAATATCATGGATTAAAGATGCGATCAAAGGCAATTATTTTTAAAGACAATGTCATAATATTTGAATATAACATTTAACGAATATAATTTCTAGGCTATACTGAAACCAATGTATTATTATAAGAATCATTTCACGACATTTATTTATTTGACATAAAAAAATAAAAAAATATTATTTTTATTTTAAAGATTTTTTTTTTTTTATTTTCCCAAAAGATTTAAACTATATATATGGGGTCTGTACTAGGAAAATCAAGCTTCCAGCTATTTTTTTTTTTTTGTCTTTTTACTCAATAATAATCTCTAATAAAGGATTTACAATTGGTGAAAAAATTGGACCCTATTTGCATAGTAGAAAAATGAGATACAAGGCTTGTAATATTTTCTTTGTATATTAAAAACATATGTGTAACCAAATTTATAAGGGTTGTTACCAAAAATAGATTTTTTGTCTGGAAGGTCGATTTTCCTAGTACAGACCCCATATATATATATATCTAAAGAAGGATTAAAGAATATGTGCATTATCATATAATTATTTATGTCATTATTGTTTTTGCGTCTAATAAAAGTTTCTCAAATTCAATGTAATTATATATATATGGGATGGAATTTATGATGATTTGGCGGTGGTACCATAAGTGATTAACGAAGAAGGTATATATTTGTAATTATAGAAGAAGGTGTATGCGTAACTTATTAACAAATTACAAACTTTAATTCGATTGGTTTAGTATTATTCTACTCGAATTTCTGAGCCGGCTAACATACATCAAATATTTCCAAATCTGTTTATATTGAAATTATATCAAATCGTTGTTTTATTTCACTTACTCTAATGGTATAGTAATTATAACAGCAGATAGGTTGATTATCGACATTATTGTTATTTTATTATTAATGTGGTATCCAATTTATTTGAACATACTTGTATATTTTATAAATGTTTTGATTAATGTGCTTTTCATCAATGTTTTCAATCTCTGATTCTGAGCATATTATAATCAAAATTTTCTTGAAGTCCATTTATAGTCATTAATATATGATTTCTTTGTTTATTGTAATACAATATATCACACGTCACGGAAAATAATTTAATGGCGTTTTTCCATATTGTGGTTATTATTGCATTTCCTTTTCTATTAATATCTATTCATTTATGATGTTTACCTTGGTAAAACATGAGATAAATTAACCTCTGTGTCATAAAGTACTTCCTTGCCCACTCAATACAAACAGGTTGTTTGATATTTCATGGATGTTGTGGAATTAGTGAGATTTTAGACTTCAAAAAAAGACAAATATTTTTACGAAATTCAAATATTCCCCACTTTCTTCGAAATAGGGATGCCATTGAACAAAGTCGAGTAAATTTCGTGACACGTTAACACTATTCTGGCCTTATTTTTGCAAGTCATCTGTTTTAAAAATATATCTAAAAGTCAAATTTATCTCTAGACGATGACAACTAATCAACAGCAATCATTTTATTTATTATTCTTGCCTCATTTTAAACCTATATTTATCATCTAAATTTAAAATGTGAGCCTCACTAGGTCATGTTATATTTATACTATTGCATATACGATATTCCTTTATATCTATACTTTTTTTTAAATAAAATTTATGAATGATCTATTCGAATATCTATTTTATGTTGCTCGAGTGATACCAACTTGTAGTTTTGATGAGGGTTTTTTTAAAATGATATATGCGTAACACGATCTGCACATATTTCAATTTGATAATTTTTTTACATCTGATAATAGAGATCATTCATTCATTGAATCGATGTAAAAATGAACGTGAGCGATTTTTGAATAATTTTTTATGGTACCATCTTAGTGCCAATTACTTTTTGTTGATAATTATGATTATTATTATTAATGTCTTTCATTATATCCAAAAGTACCTCTCGTTGTATTGCTGTTGTTAACAATTATTATTTTATCTATTTTAACTATACATCTGATTATTGCTAAGAAAGTAAGTTGTACGTGGTAACAATTTTGTATATAGTATGCATCTCTTTGGAAGACTAGGCGAATGAACAGAATCCTATCAACAGAATGAAGGTATTTAATTTTTTTTTGACATCAATAGCACCATCAACTAGTAACCCAATAACCCACTGGTATTCTGATATATAAAGTCAACTATACACCTGGGTGATATGCATATTTCATAAAGTATAGTCGTTTGGTTGTATTTATAAATCTACTTGCAACAATGAAGTTGATTCTTTTCGATATCTTCTTGTTTTGTTGTTATTTTTTCTGTCCATATCGTTACTATGTTTGAAACTTATTATTTCGACGACAAGAGACCTGGTCTTGTGTTTGATGTGTTTTTCTGATGGATTGGTAGTTCTTGGAATGAAAATATGCGATGGAGTAAGATTATTATAATATTAATTGCTGCATCAAATTTTTAATTATGTCTTTTTCTTAAAATTTCGTAGATTATTTACACACGATATATAAACATTGATTGATATATATTGTATTAAAACGAAATGTTTAGATATTTTAATCTCTAACGTGAATAAGACAATTGTTTCGTTAAAAAAAAGAGTTTAATTTATCAGTATTATTGTTTGTAATAATTGCGTCTTTATGTGTTTCATGTGTTTCTATTGTAATGAATACTTCTCAAATGAAATAAAAAAGATTATTATTATTTTGATATTGATAATCGATTTGTATATATTTGATCAACCAATTAAATCGCGTGATTTAATTTGTTTTTGATTGACAAAGATAAAATTTTTTTTTTTAAAATACCGCAATTAAAATTCCATAATCTTGATTCGATATCACGCGCTTTATTTTCAATCGGTTTCAACCTAGGAAAAAACGTCAAAAATCTATAGAGGTCAGTAATCTTAGATTAGCATGTCTCCAATATGAATACAAATATTTGCCTTTTTATTTGCAACCCGTTCACAACTCACGCTGATGTATTGCTAAGAGGTAATTAATTAATGATCTTATGTTCTTGTGTTTCATAATATTAAATTGAGCTTAATGACACTTGATATTAATTCTTCACATACTTGACCTGGTATTTCAAACAATATTTTTTACGAAAACAGTGAAACAACTTGAGAAATTACTTTGTAAATAAATTAGTTTGTTAATTTCATACTTTTTTAATTAATTGCCTCAATTCAGCAAAATTAGCTTGGGAATTGAAGACCATAGTCAGGAAATTGTGCATAATAACAATGATAATAATCGTTGATTTTGGAGAAAAGTTGATGCAAAAAATTAAATGATTATTTATTAACATAATTTACTGGGTAAACAAAACAGGTTTTATTATCATTTCGTTGAGGCAACTTACGTTTATTGATCAAACCTGCCTATATAACTATCGAATAGTTAATAAAACGTTCATTAAATACATTTTACAAACAGATCCGTAGATCTTGTCCTTAACATTTACCTCGATTACCTTATATATACAAGTTATTGAATAATTGATAAACTAGATTTGCAAAGCTTTGTAGATCACACAAAAAAGCATTCTAACTAAATATGGGTATTATTCTTCAAATCAGGATCCATTGTTCCCAAATTCTTGTTTATATTAATACTTTAATTTATTTATTGTTGACAATCAACCACTTGATCCATTAAAATCTTCTTTTTTGAAAATTGCAATCCTTTTGATTTCAATATATCTCCAGAAATAGCTAGCTAGATTTAAAGATAAAGTTTGTTGCATCCATAAACATAAAGCAAGCTTCAATTCCAAGAATTTTCTTCCTCATTCTCGTCTTTTAACATACATTTGAAACTATGATTTTGATACCTTAGATTTTTTAACAATATTTTCTGTAGTTTCAGATGGATGGCTATTCTTCCTCTGTGTTCATATCTTATTAAAATTACAACTTGAGGCTTTTCACAACGAATAATAAAGCCATCTTTTTATAATGTAAAAATCTTTAGAATGTGATTTTATTATTATAACTAAATTTAGAAAGAAGGCAGAATTAGCGTTTCATAGAGTCGATGGGATAATGACCATGTGACTATAATAATGTGACTTTCATTATGAACAAGATTTATTGGAAAATTCTTTAATGTTCACTGTACGTATACAATAAAGAGATTTTATCATTAAGTTTACTGTAGCGAGCAAAATTTATTTATTATATAGTGAACTGTAAGCCATTTCATTGCGACCCCATTTTAAGGAAACTGTTAAAATCTTTGCTGATAAATATGTATTCGCTAACGTATTAAGCATTATCGCCAAGAACTAGGATTATTGTCCGTAAAATTTCGAGAATAAAATAAATATATTATTATTACTATTATAATTATAACTTTTAATTTATCTAATGAATGGTATATATATAATATTTGCACAATTGGTAATCGATATTCTTAATATGGAAGAGCTTGAAGAGCGAGTTTTTGTGTCAATACGACTCTGATAAAAATTATGATCACTAAATAGAGCACTGGATCCACATATAATATTATGTACGCTAATGCAATTATCAGTATTAAATCGGAGCATTATTTCCCGATTTTCGAATTGTTCCCGGGTATTGATTGACTATGTGGTAGTAGATGCAGTAGAGTACATTAAGGTTTTTGCGACGTAATAGTGTGAACAGAGAGGAATAATAGATGGTACAATATTATTATGAGCGTGTTATAATTAAGTAATAGTCACAGTGTGTGAAGTATTCCGTATCTTGAACGATCTCATCAACTAATTAATTTAAAGAGTGTTGTAGATTATGTAAACAACTAATGCTTATTTTGACATTAAAGATTATAATTTAATAAATTGAACTTAATTAATTAAAGATATTATTCTTTTTGATTTTTAATAATTGGTGTAATGAAATTATTGACTTGTACTTTTTCGCTAGCATTAATTCTTATTAGATCAATCCACTAATTAAATTTTTAGTGCATTGCATTAGATTGGTGCATATTTTTAATACTATTAACATCAATACTATTATTATTTGTTCTGCCGTTTTGTAATGAATGGATCGACTAATTTGTCTATCAAACGCCACCCCTCAATCTATTAAACTGTATATATAATAATAAAGTTTTTTTTTTTGGTAAGAAATGAAAGTTTCGAGTGTGTGCTCATTCATTTATTTTCTATAAATGGCACAAAAGTTTGGTGATCTGTGATGGAAGTGCATATTGCATTAATATAAGCCTTTTACTTTGATAGATTGAAATTCTGTGGATTTTCGAAAGTTCTAAATCATATTAATATATGAATTAACTTGAGAATAGCCTTTATTATTATCTTTGTTAAAACCAAATACAATAACGGCACGTCGTAATGGGTGATGGATAGATGGATGCACACAAGTGTCTTTAAAATCTGACCCTTTGAAATATAGATTATAACAATTGCCTTTTCCAGTGCTATTATTATGCATAATAATTTAGATTCTTTTGTCATACTCTCTTTTAATATACAAAATAAATAAATGAACTTTACATAGTAACACAGGTGTATCGGATTTCAATGAGCTGATTTTTACCACTATTACAACTATTACTATCGTTATTAACCCCGAAAATTTACTGATTGGATACATAATAATATAATAGTGTCTGATTTTTTTTTTTTTTTTCATGGGCAAGCATGAAACTTTTTTCATCAAATTATAATTCCTTTTGATTGGTTCCTTTGGAACCACGTTGATCTTGGAAAACTCAAAGCTTTGTGTGTGTGTGTGTGTGTGTGTGTGATTTGTTGACTGAATTGTCATGAATCAAGAAATTTTCTAGTTAGGGGTTGTCATATAAAAATTGTGTATTTTGTTGCAATATTGTCTTGAAACAAGTTTATTGCTATGAACTTGGACGGGTACAAAAATAATAAGACG